CCCGTGGCAGCCGGGGGCGGGCAGGGAGCAGCCGGGCAGGGAGCAGCCGGGCAGAGCTGGGCAGCCGGGGAAAGCGCGAAGCTGAGCCCCTGGGGGCACGGGGTGCCAGGGCTCCTGCCACGGGACAGAAGGCAGACAAGGCGTACGGTGGGGCCTGGTTTATTCGTGTCCATGCAGCCGTCCCTACTACTGATCCACGTTCTTGACACGAAGGACGACAGGCACCGAGGTGCAGGGGATCATGCCCAAGTCCGTGATGACCAGATCCACCAGGTCAGGCGGCGTCACGTCATAGACCAGGTTGAGGAGGCGCAAGGACTTGTTTTCTGCCCAGCCCCCCAGCTGGGCCTGGCCCTTCCGGAGCACGATCAGGTCATCGGGGTCATCTGTGGAGAGAGGAGCAGCCGGCAGGAGCTGGGGGAGGAACAGCACCTCCATCCTGCCCTGCTGCCTGCCAGCCCCAGCGGCCACCCCCCCGGTGAGCCCCCCCCAGGAGAGGGGATGGCAGGGGCGATGAGTCCGTTCTAGCCAGCAGTGGGAAGAGGGAGCAGGTCCCAGGTGGGAAGAATCCCAGAATCCTGGGCTGGAAGGGACCTCCAGGATCATCTGGTGATCAGGGGGAGGAACAGCACCTCCATCCTGCCCTGCTGCCTGCCAGCCCCAGCGGCCACCCCTCCGGTGAGCCCCCCCCAGGAGAGGGGATGGCAGGGGCGATGAGTCCGTTCTAGCCAGCAGTGGGAAGAGGGAGCAGGTCCCAGGTGGGAAGAATCCCAGAATCCTGGGCTGGAAGGGACCTCCAGGATCATCTGGTCCAACCTCTCTGGGCAAGAGGCCAGTCCAGACAAGATGGCCCAGCACCCTGTCCCGCTGAGCCTTGGCAGCGTCCAATGTGGTGGAGTCAACCCCTCCCCTGGGGAGATTATTCCAGTTGTGACTGTTCTCACGGGGAAAAATTTCCCTCTCCTGTCCAGTCAGAATCTCCCCAAGAGCAACTTGTGTCCATGTCCCCTTTTCCTCTCCATGGGACTCCTTGTGACAAGGGAGTCTCCATCTTCCCTGTAGCCACCCCTTAGGTACTGGGATGTGGGGATGAGATCCCCTCGGAGCCTCCTTTGCTCCAGGCTGAACAAACCCAGCTCTCCCAGTCCATCCCCATCCAGCTGAGAGAGGCTTCCCGGCCCTTGGATCCCCTTGGTGGCCCTGCTCTGGGCCCCTCCAGCCTGCCCACTCTGTTTTGTGCAGCGAGGACCAGAACTGGGCACAGGATTCCAGGTGTGGCCTGGCCAGCGCTGAGCAGAGTGGGATGACGACTCCTTCGCCTCTGCTGGCGATGCCCTTGGTGATGCCCCCCAGCACCCTGTTGGCCTCCTTGTCCAAGAAGGGGGCAGAAGCCTTACCCAGCTCATTGGAGACAAAAGAGTCCGTCTGCACTCGCTCGCAGAACTTGTAGGTCTCGCAGCACACCAGGACGGGCACGTTGTAGGCCTTGGAGACCAGCGCTATCTGGGATGTCCCCACCCGGGACATGACGGAGCCGTTGGCCAGGAGTGCATGGGCTCCCAGCAGCACTTTGGACACCTGTCGGGGAAGTGCAGGGTCCGTCACGATAAAAGGTGCTGCAGCCTCCCCGTGCCCAGCACTGCCCTCGGCACAGCCACGCGCCGCTCCTCACCTCGGGCAGCACGTACGAAATGGCATTGATCATCACGTAGGTGCAGTGGATGCCCTTACGCACCAGCCGGCGCAGCGTCTCCCGGCCCTCCCGCCGCGGGCGGCCGGCCCCCCC